TAATGGACACAAACTGAAAGGCCTATCTGTTTTACAGGGACCTCCTGTCTTTCCAGCGCTCATATAACACTGCCTGACTTCACCAGGAATTTTGTGATATACAAGAAGCGGAGGAATGGGCCTACAAAATCTGGGATGAGGGAGAGGAGAGCCTCCCCAGTCACATGCATTTTTTGTCTTGCGTCTTGATGGGTGCATAAAAGCAGCGGTGGCAGATTTAGGGCTTTTCTTGACAGAAACACAACATTTGGTGTTTTCTTAAAGACCTAACTCTGAGAGGCAGATAATGACATAAGACTGTTGGCTTTCTGTGTTTCTAATTACAGACAGGAACTTGCAAACCATACAGCCTAAAAAATCTTGGAAGCAAAATGCAAAACTAAATGCATAGTTTTAAAGCCTGTCATTCATAAAATCAAACTGATTCATTTGGGAGCACAAGAGGTTACTTAAATACGGCAGTGATGATTTTTGCAGCAAAATCTCAGTCTTTCTCATATCAGCTGAAGCTAACAAGTGAGTTTGTAACACTAGAGAATCCTTTTTTCCCTCCCTCTGTACTTCTAAAAATCTAAATCAATTTGCTTTTTACAGCTGCACTCACCCTTTTTTTGTTATGCACATAGCCTGAACACTGCCTGTCCTCCCTCTGCTTGATCCTGCCTTGGCCAGAACCTTGTGGCTTTCTCCTCATGTGCTCCTCCAGTGCCCCAGTCTCGCTTTGTGCAGTGGTTCCACAGCTTCTCCGCCTGTTTGTTTCACATAAGCTCCATCTGCTGGGAAAAGGGAGAACCTCGGTGGTTTTCATTCTGAACTACAAATGCTTTTCCCTCAATTTGGAAAGATTTTCAAAATTACCTGTTTCTGCTCCCCCAGCTGTGCTCTTGCCTGCCTGCATGCCAAATTTAACTAATGACAACCTAGTATGTTATTTGTATGACATTTTGTGTTGCTAATTTGGGTCAAGCCTAAGCAATCTTTTAAAATACCACTTTTTGACTTGAATTTGAGAAGATAATTGTCCTTGGATGGGGAATGACTGCAGCACGTCATTGCCATCAAGGTACTCTGCATAGCATTTCAGGGTAGTGTTTGAAGAGGCACCCAGGGCAGCCCATTTCTGTGCTAACGTGTAGCCAGTGCTGCTTGTTTTTGGCACATTTACAGACAGAAGTGAACATGTGACCTGGACATACATACAGCAAATCTGCAATCCAGCCACCACTTGAACTTTTACCTTTGGGTGTAACACTGACAAATCAACAGGCTTAATATCCCATGAATCTCTCCTAAAAATCCCTATTAATGAACGGAAGTAATTTTTTTAGAAACTACTAATAATCTGTTGGCTTTCTCCCTGGAGTAGAAACTTAATACAACTTGCTACACAGTAATGTCTTTTTTCCCCCCCTTTTCTTTACATTTACGCTGAACACTGGTGAATAAAGATGAGGTTAATCCTGTATTGTTAAACCTATTCAAGGAGACAACCTGGGGGTTGTCATGGAAACAGATTCTACAGCCTAAAAGCATAATTCTACTTTTAAGGGCTGTCTATGGACCTGTACTGATATGTAGCTTATTGAGTCACACTGTGTACACAAACATGATGTTGCAGCAGTGAAATGGCAAAGGTGCCTCCCAACTCATCAGATGCTAATTATGCCCCCACCTCCTCCCACTTACAGCCCAGAGCATCAAACATGGCACCTCCTCTCCCTCCACGCCCTGAATCCCATTTCCCCGGCCTTTCCTGCCTTTGCTGCCAGCTCGTTTGTCATCAGGGTGTACTGGGGAACCGAGGCCGTGCCTGTGTCTCTGGTAGGAGTGTCACAGATTTGGTACCATCACACAGCCACTGTCAGTACAGGGCACCTCAAGCTGGGAGTGGGGGAAGCTGCTATCAATCCTCAAAAACATCAACAGGACCTCAGAGTGCTTCCTGGGCCATGTCTTCAAGGAAGGGGTGACAAACTTGCAGTTCTTCTCTGTGTTCATATAAACATGTGCCCCCCAATTTCTATACAGATTTCTAAACTTCCTCAGAAAGAATTATAGATTCATCTCCTCCTTTGTCATGTCTGTGCAAGTAATGCACAGCCCTAGGCTTGTTCTGTGCTTTTATAGGTCTTATGCACCATACCTCTTTCAGACAAGTGGAACAGTCATGCCTTTGTGATAGCACTGGGCTCTGCTCATACAGCAATAAAATACATATTTCAGTATTTACACAGCCTGTAACAACCATCAAAATTTCCTTTTATTTGGAGGTTGTTTTGAATTGGCATAGACAACTCCTACCTTGCTTTTGCTTTAATTTAATATGCAGGGGGAAAATTATATTTAACATAAAATAGTAATCTTAGTTTTGTTCAAGTATTATTTAAATAAAAATATTTATTGTAATTATTCTCAGATCCTTATTACATCCATCTAGAAAGAAGGCTTTGTATTTCTTCCTTTTAGTCTCTCTCATCCTATTCTTGCTGGAAAACAGATTTTTTCAGCAAGATGGCTGACGGCTTTTCCAAACAACATGGTTGCTTTAAGAACCAGGTCTAAAATGGCTGTGTAGCAGTTGATTTTTTATTTTTTTTTTTTAAACAAAACCCAAGTAACTATGAGGTATCATGCTTTATTCTGGGGATAAGTGTTTTCTCTGTGAGCTCATGGGCTGTTGATCTGGCTGGAGTAGAAGATGTTTTTCTTTAAAACAAAAACAGTCCTGTGGAAGGCCCATGTGTCACCTACAGTCACCCGACCTTTTCATGTGGGAGCAATTCGTACAAATACATGAAAAATTTTAATTCTTAGTCTTAATCATTACTTCACAATGCTTGGTAAATGAACACAATCAATTAGTATTTATAAACTGCATCTATTTGGGAAATTTTCACAGAGTTTATTATCAATCCTTTTCATATACAGTAGCAAACCCTGTAACTTCCAGGTATAAACAAATCTGGAACAAAAGACTGTACAAAAACATAACGAATTCAGCTCTGAAAAGGCCCATGCATCTACATTGTCTGCCACCCTGAATACTAATGAATTTAATGAAACTATTGAAAGGCTGGTTACTTGTCTGCATAAATGTATTGAGACCTCTGTAATCATCTGTTTGCTGTCTAAAATCTCTTGTCAATAGTTTAATGACTTCAGAGCACATTATTCTTCTTGTATAGGCTTCATATAATGTTTCTACATAATTAAGCAGCTTTGTTAGAAAAACTGCCATTAGTTGCCCCATTTCATTTGGTTTTGTTATCAGCCAACCAGAAAGAAAAAAAGAATAACAAGAGAAAGATACAAATGAAGCCTAGTGAGATGTGTAGATTGGGAAGATGTTGTTTGTTTGGGTTTTTTTTCAGGACTGCCATTAACATAAAGCATTATTGTCAAGTTGCACATTTTAAATAATTTTAACCATTTAAGTGCGGTACACATTTAAATACTTGTAAAGCAAAAACAGCTGGTTAAAAATCTTGCACTGCATTTGGGAGCCTAATGTTTTAAAAGTAGCTCTAGTAAGTATATAAATAGTTAATACCCATTAATTTGTTAATTATCACTAAATGTAAACACTAGCATTTCTGTAGCCATAGTGAGGAAAGTGTTGTGATTTTTCCTAATATTCAGACAATTGCATACTCGATCTTCACTAATACTTTTGAATTAAAAATATAAATAATATAAATTTCACCAGAATTTTTTTGTACTTTGGAGAAAGCCTGAGAATTTTCTTTAAATATATAAAAGAAACCAATAAAATTACCAACTAATTTTCTGCATTTGCCTAGTCCTAAGTATGAACAGATAAACTACAAACTCACTTGCTTTTTATTGCTAGGAGATGCTGGTTTTTTCGTCACGTTTTGGGTCAGACCTCAACACTTGTGCTACCCCTTATGTATAAAGTTAAGTATCGTGTATTTTCTTTGGGGTTGAGGCAGGTGTAGAGGTGACCAAGTGCCGGTGTTGTGAGTTACCTGTGAGGCGGGAGAGGTCTGATCCCACAGCTCCCTTGTTCCCCTGGAGCCCTGGCCTTGGGGCAGCCATCTTGTTGGCAGGGCTGGCAGCCATCTTGTCCACAGACAGTACCAGTAGCTTTCCCATTTTTTTCTGGAAGAAGGAAGGCATTAACACCCAAAGCTCATGTACACAGTTTGTAAAATGTCACTGTTCTCGGATTAAATTATAATTTCTGTAGCTTGATTTGTGTTATTCACTCCATTTGCGAAGACAGTTAAAAATAAAGTACCACTTAATACTACATTAACTGAGTACTAAAATATTTAGTAAAGAGATCTTACTGCCGGTCACAATTCGACTTGCATCTGAAGAATAACATGTTACTTGTAGTCCAACTATTAACCAGCACTAGTGCGGCACATCTGTCAACCGACTGATTTATGTGCTATTTCCTATCAAAACCGTAACAGCTGCACCAGAAAGACACTTTTTACTGTCACATCCCGAGATCCACAAGCAACACACGTGTGTGCAGCGGAACTGCTACTGCCAACCTTGGGCCGCAGGCATGCGGGAACACGGCCGCACACACCGCAGGATCACAGGGTCGTCAGGCCTGGAAGAGACCTCTGAGCATCATCCAATCCAACCTCTGCCAAAGAGGAAAGCACCGCGCCGTGCTGGAGCGCTGTACTTTGCGCTGGGGTGTGTGGGCACGGCGCTCTGGGCGTGAGGCACCGGCGCCCGCCCTTCACAGCGGGCACGGCCTGTGGCCTTTCCCGCATGGCAGGGACCGTGCGCTGCGAGCGAGGCACACTCGGGGAAAGAAGCCCCTACACCGAGACGGTCCCCGGTGTCCACCGTAGGTCCCGCCGCTCCCCTCGGGCGGCTGTGGGGAAGAACGGCAGCGGCTCCCGCCCCTCGGTGACGCCATCCCCACCGCCCGGCACCACCGCTACGGCGCACCGGACTACGGCTCCCGGCGTGCCCGGCGCCGCGGGGCGGTGCCGGGCGAACGCGGTTCCCGGGCGTGTGGGGATCGCCGCGGCCCGGGCGGCGGGACAGGAGCGGGGCCGGAGCCGCCCGCCCGCCCACCGAGCGCCGCCATGGCGTCCATGCTGCTGCAGTGCTGCGGGCGGCGCGCCTGCCGCCTGCCCCGAGCGCTGCGCCGCCCGCCACAGCCCGGTGAGGCTCCCCGCGGGCCGCCCGCCGGCTCCGGGCCGCCGGGCCTGGCCGGGAGGGCACAGGGAGGGAGAGCGGCCGGAGGCGTCTGGGGGCTCCGGGCGTGGGCGGAGAGGCCGCTGCGGGAGGGAAGGGCCGCGGCCGAGTCCCCGTCGCTCTGTCTCCCGGGGCTGGCGCTGCTCCCGGCCCGGTCCGGCTCACGCTCGGCGGCTGCCGCGGCCTCTTCGCCTGTGCTTCCGCGGCAACGTGGTTGGAGGGGATGATTTACCCTAAGGGCAGTGGGGCACGCTTGTCTCCTAAATGCCGGCTGGTTGGGGAAGGGAAGAACACGTGCTTTTTGTTAAAGTGCAGGAACGCGTTACTACGTTTCGGTCCTGCCTGCCTTGCCCTCAGCGTGGCTTGGGTGTGAAGTGGGCTTGTCACTATTCATGTGCTTCTTCTCTTTAAAAGAAGCACAAGAGGATGTTTTCTTAGTCTATATTAGGGACGAAACACGAATTTGCCTTTTTCCAAGTGGCTTTGAAAGCTTAGGAAAATAAAAAGTTAAGCGTATCGTGTTATACTGATTAATAATGAAGATAATTTGGCAGTTTAAATATCTCTGGTTGGTGAAGCTTAGTGGCATGAAACAGCTGATAACTTGTGACATACGCAAGGCCTGTGGCTGCTCTTTATATCCTGAGCTGGAATGGCAGGGGCTGAGCGAGGAGTTGCTTGTCACTGACACTGAGCCCCAGCTTGTCATGGGAGTGCTGTCACTGAGAGCAGGGCAGCTGCACACTCACATCCAGGCAGACCTGATGAGCAGTAGTGATGCTTGTCCATTGCAAAGAACAGCTGTCCTCTTGGTTACCAATAGTCACTCCAGTGTGGTATCTTCCTCTAACGGATGGGTTTTGTGAGCTACTGTTGTAAAGTCATTTATTTAAGTTAAACATGGACAGTGTCCTGAACAAAAACCTGGGGTATTCTAACCACCCAGTTCATTTAAAAACGGGAAAAAGCATATACATCCATGTACCTTCAAATTAGATGGGAAATTTGATTATTCTTGTGGCATATCATAAAAAGTAGTGCTAATGATTGCTGCAAGTTGGGTTGTTATAAATCCTAGACAACCTAAGCTGAAATGCTGTGGTAGAATCAAATAATTAGTGTGCTGTGGTATACTGCGGTTATGATACAACCACTACTTTTATTTGGGGTGTTAATCTAGTATTAATGCATTCTTGTATGGTGTATTTTTTTTTCTGTAGTGTTTTGCTTTACTTAGCTCATCTTCTTTGCTTTACATGTAAGTAGTCTAAGATTAAGTTAAAGCTAAGTGCTTCTAAGAATCCTAAATGTTATTCCTGTGAAGATCAGACTGTTAAGTACTGCAAGCTTACACTTCTCGAGGGACTTACTTCATGATAGCATTTTATTTTTAAAAATTCTAAACATAGTAACAGTATGGCTGTTCTATGCTAAAAACTTTGGGTTTGATGCTTCATTAAATTAAAGCATAAAGTTTTCCATGACTACTTGTCCATGAGGAACATGTTAACTTACAGCTTCTCTGGCACTACTGCCCTCCTTTCTTACTAAGCCAGTGCAGGTTTCTTAAATGAACAGTGCTATGGTTAAGCAACATCCACCTTGTTCAGACACTTTTGGATGTCTGTATTATCCCAGAAGCAAGGATTATGGACTTTGCCCTTTCTGAAGGAAGTATATATTTTATTTTAGGGCTCCTCCTAGGTACTCCTTACTGCTTAGGTACACGGTTATAAGAGACACTGCAAAACCTAAAGAGCTCTTGTCAGAACTGGCAAAGTTGGAATTAACGTTTTGTGTGGGCCTGTTCACACTCTGAACATGCTGTAAAACAAGAAGCTTAGTCAGCAAGTTTTCTTATGGTAACCTTGGAATTTTGTTCTTTGACCTGTTCCTTAACATTTAATGAGCCTGGTTGGAAAGAAGGTAAGTGATGTGAAAGTGTTGTGCTGCTATGGAGTTTTATCTGAGAAACTCCAAACCAGTTTTGAGCTCCAGATCATCCCTCTTAGTTCTAGGGGCACCTGTCCATAGCAGGCAATGTCTTCTCCTAGTAGGACTCTTGCTTTAGGCACATAAGGCTTTGTGGGCTTCCTGGCACTCAGGCGAGACAGATTACTGTGCTGTGACTTATCCCTGCAGACACTGAGTACTTCTCTGCTTTGCTCAGCTCCTCCTTGAGGTCAGGGATGTCCTTCTGGGTTGGCCTCTTGGGTTAAGTAATTTAGCTACCTTCTTTCTGTAAATATTGGAGAGTATCAGAATACCTTCACAGATTCTCAGAGCTTGCTTTTTGAGCCAGAAAGCGACAGTTTTTCCCTCACTCTACTTGCAGTGGCATTGTGTTAAGAGTTTGATATAGCTTGACATGAGTAAATCCGTTGACTTGATAGTGCCACAGTTTTTGCTGTAATTACTTCAGAGCCCACTTAGCATGGGACATCCCTTGATTATCTAAATTTTCTTCAGATAAGTTAACTTACCTTCTATACCTTCCGATTGTCCCACCTGATTTTGTCAGCATCATTTTTTCCCTCATAATTAGCATATTTTATTGGGGAAGGCTTTTGGTCATCAGCATTGGGTGCTGTGTTTTCTCAGATACAGGTGTCTAGTTTAAGTTCTGTCATAGGCTGTATCTGGGCTTTGATGGTGGGAAAGGGTATCACAGACCTCTTGAATGACCTTTGTATCCTTCTGTCTCTTAGGCTTGACCAGAAATGCTAGGTTTCAGATGGGAGAAACAAACCACAGTATGCCTACTCTATCTAGCCAAAATTTTATTTTGGTTACCGTGAATTCTGAAAAGATTGGCCAAAAAGAGTCAACATGTTTGAAGTCTTGCTTGTGTGATTTTTTTATTATCTGTCCAGAAGTCTTTTTGCTCTTGGTAGTAGCTGCCTATTGAGTTACTGTAGCAAAGTGTTGATACAAGATTTATTTTTTTAAAGTTGCTGTGGGAAGATGAATTCCATTCTACTGGAATCAGAGATGACTCAGTGGTTGTAGATTGTGTGCAGCCACTAGGTATCATTTTATGTTGTTTATGCTTCTTCCACGGTTGGAAGACTTTCAAATATGGCCCTTTATTGAAGCACGTGACTTAGATGATTTATGATTTGATGATCTCAATTTACTTCCAGAATGGATGCTGCTTGTCTGTGTACCTGGAGAGAGGGTGCTTGTATATAAGTGTCAGCCCTTCTTTTGGACTTTATTAGCTACTATTAGGACTGATTCTGAGGTAGTGTTTCAAAGGTTTTCTGGAAAGCTAACTTTTCATATGCTCTGGGTCAGGCTCTCACCCCTCCCTTCAAGACAATTTGTATCCTTGGCTGAGAGATCATGGGGTAGAGCTGTTTTTAGAAAGTGCTAATCAGAATGGACAGCAATGTATTGAAATGGTGTTGTGGTTCCACCTCTCTAGGAAGTGTCTTTAGTTTTGTGCTTGTGTTTTATTTGTTTTGCTTAAAACAAAACAAAAAGCTGGTTTAATCATAAACACTTGGCAAGGGCTCCGTTTGGATCATCTGATACTATGTTGTCATAGAGCTGTTAAAAATTTACATTTACTTTCAGTGAAGTTCCTCTGCAATATAGTTTCTTGCCTGAAGGACTTGGAAACCTGTCTTCAGACAATTGAACAAGAGCAAACCAACCTCAGGCATCCACAGAGTTTGACTCTGCGTGTTAAGCAACATCATTTTTGTGCTTTCAGTAGTAGCCATTTCTACTTAAAGATCAATCTTCTCACTGGTGTATTTGTGTGCAGTTCGCTACATGGATAAATGTCCTCCTGAATTTCAGAATTGATGCTAATTATTGGTATTTTTCTAGGTAACTTGGGAGATCGGGCATGTCTTAGCTGTACATCCCTGAGGCTGGCAAAAAAAATGTGAGTAAATATGAACATTTTTCTGAACTATCAGTTAGTATACTGTCATGGAATGTAGGTTTAAATCTAGACTAAATGTTAGCTTCAGCCTGTGTTAATGAGAGATTAAAGGAAGTCTGAGTGTTGCTTGCTTCACCTGGTTGGTTGTGTGTGGGAGAAAGAAAGTGAAATCTTCCCTTTTTTGCCCACTTCCTCCCTTTTTGTTTCACTTCTGATGTGAAAGCAGTAGAATATTAATCTCTGTCTTGGGTGATTCCAGGTGTTTTAACAGGATCTGATAAATTTCTTGCATACTTTCTTCATGGAGTTCCATAGAGTAAACATTCAGTCACAGCTTGTTGAAAATCACAGTTGACAGATAAGAATGTAAAGCATCTGAGTGGGATCTCTGTTAAACCAAGGAAAAGAGTTTATTGTATGTTGCAGCCTTGGGTGATGGTGTCCTCTTCTGAAAACAAATCCAGATGTTGTGTGCCCTTATGGAACTGAAGGAGTTGAATGTTGGCAGAATCCCTTCTCTGTTCCTGACTTGGCTCACAAGGCATACTTGTGGATAAGAATTTCCTAATGCCTTTCCTTGGAACATTAAAATATGGGTTCGTTCTGTAGTTCATTAATAAACTAACTGCTCAGGATACAGGGACTATTCTTTGATTTCCTGAGTTTTCGTTTTAACATAAGGATGTGTCTCTAGACACAACCCTCTAATACAAAACAAACCAGTTGTTTTTTAGACATGTTAGTTCTATATCACTTACTGTAGAATTAATTAGGATTAATTTTTTTTAATATATAAAGCATTTTCAAATACCTATTTTGAGTATGTTAGTATATAAGACCTCTCTCAGGAAGCTGGAAAATTATGGTTTTAAACCTGTTAAAGTAAAAATTATTGTTTTAAACCTGGAGTACCTCTCCTGTGAAGACAGACTGAGAAAGTTGGGGTTCTTCAGCATGGAGAAGTCTCCAGAGAAGTCTTACAGACTACATAAAGGGTACAAGGGAGCTGGAGAGGGACTTTTGTCAATGGAACAGAGTGACAAGGTGAGGTGGGATAGCTTTAAAATGAAAGAAAGTAGGTTTAGATTAAATATGAGGAAGAAATTCTTTGGTCTGGTGAGGCCACTGGAGCAGGTTGCCCAGAGAATTTGTGGATGCTCCATCCCTGGAAGTGTTCAAGGCCAGGCTAGAGGAAGCTTTGAGTAATCTGGTATAGTGGAAGGTATCCCTGCCTGTGACAGGGGCGTTGGAACTGTGTGGTCTTTAGGTCCCTTCCAACCCAAACCATTCTATGATTCTGTGATGAAATGAGCAGCAGAATACTGGGACACAAAACCTTATTCTATTGGGAAGGTTTGGAGTGGGGTTTTTTGGTTTTTTTTGGTTGGTTTGGTTTTTGTTTTGTTTTTTCTAATGAAAGCTGCTATTAAGGTAATGTTGCCACTTAAAACAAACTTATGCACGCACCCCACATGACCCAGATCTGTATGCAGAGGACAGATAGGATAGAAATTGTGTGTCTGACATTCTTCCTGTGGAAGTGTGTTCAGAGAGGCACATTTCATGCAAAATTTTTATTCCCTGCAGGCTCAGAACCAGTTCTGCTGTCAGAGCTTTCTTCCTCTCTGCATGCAGGAGAGTGTCAATGTATGTAGGTGGAACTTGGCTTGTAGGCCTGGAGCTCTGCTTTTGGGAAATGCCTTAGAGTCAGGGTGGATTGTTTCATGCAAGTGTTTTAATCTGGTTTTGAAGTTCATTTTCTTAAAGTAATTAAACTGTCATTCTTATTAGTTAGTATCTGTGTAAATGTGTAGTTTTCTAGATAGCCAAGAGATTGTTTTGTGTAACTGTATATGCTCCAGCAGTTGTCTGACCACTGAATGGTCAGATGCTAATATTTCAGTTTAAACTAGAAAATAGTGTGTCTTTAAAAGCTAATAATTTAGTCTTTCTTTTCTTTTGTCTTTTTTTTTTTTTTTTTTTTTTTACAAAGCTCTATTTGAGGGTAGGCAGAACCATTAAAGTAAATTAAAACTCTTTTATGCATGTAATAATTAAAAAATGTTTCTGTCTGAAAATTGAGTGAGGCTAACACTTTTAAGTGTATGATAAACCTTTTTTTCCTTAAAATGTTACTAAGACCTATAAAGCCACTTGCACCTATTTTCTGTTCATTGACTGAAGACAAAAACACATTCTGATTTTGTTTTGGTCGTAAAAGGGCTCTGTGAAGAATACACCCCCAGTCATTTCTGTCCTGTTGATGTCTTAATGCTGGTATTTCAGTTTGACAGACACTAATGGAACACATTTATATGAAATATTTTATCTATTTTTTTTTTGTCCCATCTTTTTTTAAAAGCATGTACAATCCTACTTGCATATACCGAGTGGTTCTTCTGTGTATATAGGGAGTGTTAGTGGTGTTTGAGCAGTGCTTCCCTGCTAACTTCAGTCTGCATCTAATTAAAGAAAAGATCAAAGTTCTGAACAAGGTGCAAGAGCCGGCTGAGAGAGAGTTGCTTCTCTCTGTCCCAGCTCAGTACCATGATAGAAGTTTTTACAAAAGGTTCTGCTGAATAAGGTAAACTGGATGCACGGAGATAGTAAGAAAGAGATAGTAAGAGTGGAACTCTAATGAAATTGGATTCCTCTGGTACCAATTCTGTGACTCAGCACCTATTTCAAGTATTCAACTTCTATTTGTTTTCTCTTAAGTGTTTTGCACAAACAGGAGAATATGAGAGACTTTGTTACTTATGAATTTACATATTAGTTTTCAAATATAGCTTTCTAAATGGAAAGCACATGTGGTGGCTGCTCTTTATTTAAATTGGAGTAAAATAAACTACCTTTTCAAAGTCATACAATGGAAAATTCCCTGCAGGTTAATTTTTATTTTTTTTTGTCATGAAGTAAAGCCAAGTGTTCTTTTCATGTATAGACATTTGTTTTAAGAGTCAAAAATTATTTTTTCCCTTAAATATGCAGTAGATATTTCTCAAATTTTGTGTTTTATAAATACATAAATATATATATATCTGTGCAAATATACATATAGAAATAGCTGATGATCTGTTGCTAATTCTTGAATGCTTTTTTCTTTTGAAGGACTGTACACTTTAAATATTGCACTAGTGTCCCTCCTGTTTACGCCTACTCCAAAAAAGCTCACTATTGTTGTTGGACTAAAGGATCTGAGCAAATACACTTCACTCTTACGAGCTCTTCTGGCTCATGGACACCACTAGCAACCGTGGGTGTTTTAGGTCCCCAGTATCTTCCAGTTAGATGGTGGCATTCTTCACGTCCCCTTCAAGATGACTCCATAGTTGAAAAGTCACTGAAGTCCTTAAAGGACAAAAACAAGAAGCTGGAAGAAGGAGGTCCTGTATATAGTCCAACAGAAGTGGAAGTTGTAAAAAAATCTATTGGGCAGAGGATTGTGGATGAACTGAAGCACTATTACCATGGGTTTCGATTGCTGTGGATTGACACAAAAATAGCTGCGAGGATGCTCTGGAGAATCCTGCACGGAAACACTTTGTCTCGTCGGGAACGGAGACAGGTACTGAGTAAAGACCCATTTCCTTTGGGTGTCTTTGGTGATTGCTCTGTTTTATTAGAACCGAGTTAGTTCTTTCTGTTGTCTTTGTTCCTAGAATTAAAATTCCTCAGTGTGTTTCCTTCCTCCTCACTATGTGGACACTAAAATATTTGGGTATTACCCCAAAACTTTTTTGCTGTGTTCCCCATTATTGAAGACAAATTTATTTTCTTGTTGGAACAGCAGAGGATTCTTCTTTTTTGTAATGTGGGCAGGAATTGTGGTTTGTTCTCCAGCTCCCAGCCATGTGCCATATACGGCTATTTTCTCTGCTTTTTTACTCTAGCTGGAAAAAAAATAGTGGGAAAACACTGCTAGTAAAGATAGTATCTGTGCCAGTTCTGTTCCTGTTTGTTGCTTTATGGGATTCTTTTGAACAGGATAAAAGCTACAGGCTGAAATGCATGATTGATAATGTACTATCTCTGTTATAAAATATATATATATCTAAAATTTCAGCCCAGATATATTTCCTTTATTTATGGCATGTTGCTTACATTTATGAAACTGTAAAAGTGCAACTGATAATTTTAAAGAAAAGGGAGATGAAATCTGGACTGCAAAATGTGAGTGCTTTCAAATTTTGATAATATATATGTACTTAAGTAGTAATTTCAGGTTTTGGATGAAATAAGCATATTTAATTAGAATAGAAAGTTATATGATTATTTAAAAACATTAGATGCGAGTTCATATATGAAAAGACTGCAAAATATTAAGCTGGTATAGTTAATTTCTTTCTTTGTAAAGAATGCATTGATATTCAACTTCATTGGCAAAATATCAGACATGCTGATTTGACAGTTCCCATTTTACTGTTTTTAAGGACAAGCTGTTTAAGCAGTTTATAGAGATTAAAAATTCAAGTCTGTCTTCCTGCCTTTATAAAAAAAAGCATTTCAGCTGTTGCTGGAAAGATGTTCTAGAAGAAAAGCTGGAGAGCAGAAGGTGTGTGTGCTTTGGGGCAGGAGTGCACAGTGCTGCCTGTGGGCACAGCATGGCTCTCTGCAGCTTGTACACCTGCACACACAGTGTGCTGGGTTCACATCCCTGCCCTCAAAACTTCTGGTAAATGATCAAAAATACGAGTATCTGCTCATTGTTTTTATCATTTATTGCTAAAAGTTTGTCACATTTGAACAATTTGATGTGTAGTTAAAGCCCATCACATCTTAAATGCAGCGTGCCAAAGTTCTTCCTAAATTCGCAAGGTTAGACAAGTAGCAAAAATTGTTACAAGCACGTGTAGCAGTTTCTGTCCGTGGGTGGGTGTGGTTTCCTCTCAGACTGCGCTGCTTGATGGTCTCAGCATCCTCATGCTCCTTTAGTTTTGCCATCTTCCTTGGCTGGTACAAGAGAATGCTTGGCAGCTGATCCAGCTGAGACGTTGCTCAGCAATAAATAAAACAGTCTGTGCTGACGTGAGAGGGGATTATGTAGTACCAGAAGGAGTAACTGAGGATAAGGGAAGGTGAGGACTGCAGGACTTCTTGAAGTAGCAGTTCTGGCTTGTGCTGGCTTATTGAGAGCTTGGAAAGCCAAGCAAGACAAATTAATTCATGGTTTAAAACAGAATCAGAAATTCTCTGAGGGAAGATTGGAACCATTGATTTTCCTCCCTCTTTCATGTTTACTGAGCCATACTTCTGAGAAATTATATAAACAGCAATAATATTCCATCAATAGATGGATTTATTCATTTGATTACCCTTTGATTTTGTTATCTAGTGATAATAGAGCTGTCTTCTTAATGTTTACATAGTGATCTGGCATTTGGCCTTCCTGGATTTGTTTTTTTGTGCAAATGTTCACTTTCAATATTAATTCTCTTTTTAAATGAAATGGACATTTATTTGTCTGCAGATATAAATTAGTGTTTACACTGGTGTAGCCTGCCTCTTATCTAATGGTGTACATATATGTTTATATGCATGAAAATCCAGTGTAGGAAATGTAGAGAAAATAGTTTTAATAACTATATTAATGTTAGTTTCTCAGTCTAGGATTTGTGTTTTCTGTATTTGGAGGAAGAGGATGTCCTGTCTCTGGATTTGAGGGCATGGTAGGCTCAGAACCTGAGGTCACTGAAAACCTAACCAGCCTGCAGATGAACAAAACCCTTTTAGGGTTTTTTTAAATCTTTTTTCAAGTTTGTTTCAACACTGCTCATTTTTTTATGAGTTCAACCTTAAATTGTAGTATACCGACTGATTTAAAGTAGTCTTAACATTTTGGTGCTGAATTACCTCCTGAACTTCAAAAAACATAAAATAAAAATTGAAGTATATACTGCTTTAAAAGTATTAAGCTGCACATGAGCTGACAGTCCTAGAGAAATCTTATCTTCATGCAGACTGACAAATGAGTTATTTCTGCCTGCCCTTTCCTTCCTCTTTGGAGGCAATAATGGAAAGATCTCCAAGTAATCTAACCACATGAACAAGCAATTGCAGCATGGCAAATGCAAAGGGACCTATTGCTTATGGAAATTAAAAATCAATTCCAATATTCTTCTTGTACAATTGCTGGCAGGGTTTGGATTCAGCATGGTCACATACCTACAATTAGGAGAGAAGAAGTAAAGGAAGTAAGGAAGAAGTAAAACATGATACTGACTTTTCAAAAACTAACTGCTCTAGTGCTGGCTCCTGCAGCAGGGTGGTTCAGGATGTGGCAGTGAGGTGGCAAACACAATGGAGTTTGTGGCAAGTCCTCCAGCTTTACAAACTCTTCCCTGCAGAGGAGGGAAACTCACGAGCTGTGGCAGCACATACAGAGTAGTCACAAGGTTCTCGTGCTGTACTGCCAAATACTGTGTGTGTAATCATACACCATTGTATTAGGTTCCTGCATAAAAGCTGTTTTCCTTGAGTTAGCCGAGGGTGCAGTTCCATGATTTGTGAAAGCCAATCCAGGACAGAGCTGCTGTGAAAAGCTTGGTGCTTAAATCAAATCTTCCCGCCTCACCCCCGCTTGGTTTGTACTAACACTTTTTCCCTTGTCCTTGTATGTATTTATGTATTTATTATCCAGTTTTAGCTGGAACAGTGGTGTGACTGCCAGTGCACCTTCATGGCTTTTTATACCTTGTCTCAGGTTAGCATTAGGTTGGTTTAACCTGGTGGTAAAACTGCTTCCTTAGGTATGGATTTTGTAGAAATACTTGCATGCACTCTCTGAGAATAGAGACTGGGGAAAAATAGGAACTCTGTACTCTATAGAAATTTTGAGGTGGGTTGTTTTTGTTTTGTTGGTTTTTTTAGGGAAAATGTACCTTCCTGAGTCCTTTCTGAGTTTTAACATTTTCTTCCAAACTTTCTTACTTTTTTTTTTTTTTTTTAAACTCCATGGTAGTCATTTGCCTTCTGTTGTTGGAATGAATGGAAAAATCCTTGAGCCTGTGAACAATGGACCAAAGCATCCCTTCTGGGAAACTGAATTTTTTATATACAAACAAAAATGCCAAACTTTGAATCTGTAGAGCGTGTGCATTTCACATACAGTAGTGCTTAAGATTTTGGCTGGTTTTATGGTAAAAAAATTATGATTGAAGTTTTACAGGTTTTTGTATTCTAGCAAATCAGTCCTCAAGACATAGGATCTGTGCCGGCTGTTGTTGCTCTTCCCCTTGATGGCCATGGACTGTGGGGAGGGGCTGGAGTGGGGAGCATGGTTTACTTTTTAATAGCATTTATGTTGCCAGTTTTTGCCACTCACAGCTGTGTTTATCAAATTTTGATGTGGAATGACAGTGCTGTGGCAGTAGAGTACCAGCGTGTACCTCTGACTTAGGAACTGGTGGGATTCCCAACAACCAGTTTTTTCCTTTTAAAACAAGGTAGAGTCAAGCAAGATCTTCACTCCCCAATATAAACCGAGTTATTAAGCTTTCAACAATTACTGAAATATTTGATAATAGACGGTACAGCCTATTGTATATATTTGTGAGTGTACAGAAATCACAAGGACAGTATTTATTTCATGCAATTCAAGATTCAGTAACGAACACTGCCTGCTTTAGAGGATTACTGCTCTGGAAAAGCAGTGGTTTGAAAAAAAAATACCTACCAAGCTGGGCTCATTACCCTGGATTTAAATGTACATTACAATTGTTATAAGGGAGAGGGGGAGGGATCTTTCATTTTATTCTTGATTACTTAGTCCATAGTAGCTCATGCATGTAAGAAGTGGTGGAGCACAAATAAAGATGCATAAAAGAAGTTAAGCAGCTTTAATGACAACAAATGACCACCTCCTGTTTTCAGGTGCTTTTAAGAGGTTTAAATGAGATACTTGTTCAATAATCCTATTGAGACACAGTGAGGCTTTTGAAATACTTTCTATAGTGTTGAAAACTGGTGAAACTCCAGCACTCTCTAGTATATAGCAACTTAAAAAAAAACCATGAAAAACTGACTTTGTTACATCCTCTTATTGTGTTATTTTAAAATTTCTTAATAGCAAATATATATGTATGTGTGTGACCCTAAGTGATAATTAGATGATCAAATCAAGTATTTTTAAAATATGTATTTAAATTTTAGCTTATCAGTATATTTTTTTCTCTTCCAGTTTCTTCGAATATGTGCTGATCTTTTCCGCCTGGTCCCTTTCTTGGTTTTTCTTGTTGTCCCATTTATGGAATTTTTACTTCCAGTAGCTCTCAAGTTGTTCCCTAATATGCTTCCCTCTACATTTGAGACAAAGTCTAAAAAGGTAAGCAGGTCTGAATTTATAATCCAGTGATATTTTTTAAAAAATTAGAAATTTCTTGGTAAAGAAATTAGAAAAAGTCTAAAAATGTTGGATTTTTTTTCAGAATTGGGGTAATGCTTTTAATCTTCCTTATCTTAGTTTGAAGATGTTGCTTTTTAACATATAATTAAGAACTAGTGCTATCCTGGTTTTCATATGTGCAGGCACCAAGCTATCAGGGTTGAAAGCCTCTCTTGTCTTTTCTGCTATCCTCATTTCCATTTTCTATGACTCCTATAAAGAAGAAATAAAGCTCTTTTATTTTTCTGGTTGTATTAAAATAGACATTGTAATAATTGTAGTCTTAAACCTTGATACAAAGTTTTCCATATGTATACTTAATATTTTAAATAGCTTCTTACTTTTTTTTTTTGTTTAAGCTTTATTTCTTCTAGTTAGGTTTTCTCAGAATTGTTAGAGCTTTGTAAAAACCCACCAAAAGAGCCCCTCAAGTTTTCACTTCCAGAGCACATAGTGAGCTCTTCATCTTGTTCAGTGTGATTTGGGGATCTTTGGGAAGAGTGAATGCCCCCTTGGAATGTGTGTATTATAGTAGAAATCCAGAATTACTGCACATAGCTTGTCTGGGGGCAGAAGTGGTATTTAGTCCATGTGTTTCTGGCAGGAACTTTTAAAAACAAATATTTTTTTAACAGGAGGAAAGACTGAAGAAAGAATTGAGAGTAAAGCTTGAATTGGCTAAATTCCTTCAAGACACCATTGAGGAGATGGCCTTAAAAAATAAAGCAGCCAAGGGAAATGTTACAAAAGATTTTTCAACATTCTTTCAAAAGGTAAAAAATTTGGAAAATGTATTTCTTCTTCCTACAAAAAAATAAGTGTTTATTTTTTGCCTGTTGTAATCATCACATAGTTTTATTTTGTTGGACTTGAAGAAACAGGATGTAGTAGTTTTTTTAGGATAAATTTCTTTTTTGTCAGTGTGATGAAGTTTTCCTATTATTAACTTCGGTGTTCTAGCTGGTGTTTTTACTCTGTAATTCTAAAAGCACTATATTTCTGTTCATTTTCTTCTTGTTCACTTGTTAATAAGTTAACTCTAACATGAAACATGGTGTGCTCGGTGGTTACTCATGTAGGTTTTGACCTCTTTTTTTTAACATGGGGTATGAAAACTAAGAGAGGACTTCTTTCCTAATTAACTGATTGAAACTTAGTGGGGGAAAAGTAAATTTTTTGGTCAAATTTAATTCTGCTTGTAAAAACAGTTTTTAAGTGCACAGTTGCTATATTGACTAGAATGTAGTATAACCTGAGGTTTAGCTAGAATGTAGTTGCTGTGCTTGGTGCAAAATTTTTCTAAGTTTGGTTGGTGACAACCAAAGGTTGTTTGCTGACAGAGAGACTTAGGTGTCAGACATCTGCCTCTTACATTAATGGCCTTTAGGTTTCACAGCATTTCCTTTCACCAAACTGTAGATGAGAGTAAAGTACTCCCTGGAGAGATGAAAAATGCCTTAAGTCTTCTCAGGACAGTATTTATGTCTGATTTCTCTTAATTGTGGGGCTGTTGAATAAGAGGTGGAGCCAACAGCATCACCAGGTGCTTTGAAAAAAAGGCAGTGGTCCCCTCCTTTGGAGAGAAAGTGTATTTGTACAGAAAAAGGCACATAAGCCCAGGGGTTTCAGATATGATCTTTATAAGCCCTGTCAGATAGCTTAAGGTTTTCCTGCATGTCAGAGCTAAGATTAAAATGTGGGGTGCTAAGATGATGTTGATAGTGCCACGTAGATCACCTCACATAATCATAGTGGCAAATTTTGCCAGTCAGTAACTTCTTGCAAAGTCTGTACTTTGAAGCCTCTATGCAGTCATCTGTTTCTGTTCATTTGAATGTGCAGAACATTGTAAGTGGTTAGTTACAGCAGTTAGTGGCTGAGGCACTGCCCTGCAGGCTCTGGGAACTTGCCACTGCCATGCTTCATGTTCGGAACATTTCATTTTCTTCTGAAAGAGCTGCTACTGAGAATTTACATTTGGCCGTTAATTTCCATGGAAATAAATGATGTTGCACTCTACATTTGCTGGAGGAAGTTCCAAGTTCCTCTGATGACTAAAAAAGAAGTTTCAAGCCTGCATGTCATATGTGTGGGTGTGCTTTTTACAGCTTTATATTTCTCATTTGTGCCATAGAGACAAACTTCATTGATCTCATTTCACTGTACCGGATAATAAATGTCAGAGCAAGAAGCAGCTTGAATGTTTCCCACCTTTTTGCTATTCTTTTACAGCAGCTTATGTAAAGATTCTGTACAGAAGCTGATTTGATGCTGCCAGAACCATTGATTGCAGGCTTAACATGTCTGCTGCGTAATTCCAGAATTTGTCTCTTGCTTTGTAGCTGGTCATGTACTAGAAAGCTTCAGTTTGGACTTTCATTAAACACATGCTTGACTCTGTCAAAATTCATATTTAAACAAGAGAGAAAATACTTCCTGTGTTTTTGAGGTGCCTTTTTGGCTCCTGTGGTGAAGGCACTGGCAAAGTGGAACAACAAGGCGTTTGACCTTTCTTTCTTCAAGATGATTTCTCCGCTACAAAAGTATCCTGGAGGTTAATGGGCTCAGGGCCATCGTGTCTCCTGATTTTTACCTTTTCCTGTACTCAGTTCACTAAAATATTTGAGTTTGCAGGTAAAACAGGTAGGCATGCTAAATCAGGCAGTACAAGTAATGTTAGGATTTCAAACTGTACTTGATGTCACCTAGTTTTATGTTTTCTTTACAGGATTTTAAAAAAAGTAGAGGTATCAAAAAAGGTGTGGTTTTTTTAATATCTATGATTAGACCAAAGTTGTTAAGGGACTGGGAGTACTTAATTGTAAGTTCTGGAGATTTTTGATGCAGTGATGTCATTAGTAAGCTTTTGGTGCCATACTTAAAACAGAAAAATCAACATCTATACAGGTGATAATACTTTACTGTGACCTGATGAGACTAGGGAATTTTTCTCCTACTTCTTTGAACTGTTATTTCGGTTTCCAGTAATTGGATTTAATGACTGGGAATTCTTTGGCAGCACATCACTGAAAAACTTAACTTTGCATTTGTACAAGCAGTTACATAGAACCGCCATCACAAGGATGCAAAGTCCTTTCCCAAACAGTGCTTTATACATTGGAATTACTTCAAGTACAAAAACATTTGCACTGAGGTGCTGCAGAACATTTAGAAACTGAAAGCAAAAGAGTATTGTAATAGATGTGGTCATGGAGAGAAGTAGGTAGTTAAGTGTCCTAATCTGCATTTCATGGGAACACCAATGTTGCAAAATTTTTGCCATTGGGTGAACTTCTTACTTTATCTTCCTATCTTTATCTTACGTGTTTCTGTGTTTAGTAATTACAGTACCAGAACAAATAACTGCCAGCGTGACTCCTGTAGCAACTATTTACGAACACAAAGGTGTATATACTCTTTAAGTATCTCATGGCAGTGCAATTCAGCTAGACCTGCGTACTCCTTAGTGCATCTAATTTTTGTTTTGTTACTTTGATCTTAAGTTGTTGGAAATTGTCAGCACCATCAATTCTCTTGCCTAAGTAAGTTGTTTGTTTTTTTAAAAACTTCTTTCATTTTTCCTTGTGTGCTGTTTCTTATCCCAACATTGTTGCAAAGTGCTTGACAAACAAGGAGAGTGCTTTTATTCAAAATAATGCCCAACCATAACATTTGCTTTGAAAAGCTTTGTGTCTGTTTGTTTTTTTTCTACAGATCAGGGAAACTGGTGAAAGACCCAGTAATGAGGAGATCTTAAGGTTCTCTAAACTATTTGAAGATGAGTTGACGCTGGACAATCTGACCAGGCCTCAGCTGGTGGCACTTTGTAAATTGTTGGAACTTCAGTCAATTGGGACAAATAACTTTCTCCGCTTCCAGCTGACAATGAGGTTGAGGAGCATAAAAGCAGATGACAAAGTAAGTCATTCTGAATAGGCACTGGTTAATATTTTTGACACATAACAGAAATGTGTGTGTGGATATATGTACATTTGTTTTTCTAGGCATTTTCCATTTTTGTATTAATTGTCTTGTTTTTGAGAACTTTGAACAAAAAGGCTTGAAGAGCTTAAAATCTGAAGTGTCCTTATTTGTTAAGAAAAAACTGACCTTTTTTTAATCTACCATTAATTGAAATTAAAATAATTATATCACAAAGAAAAACGTTTCTATGAAATTATAATTTGCAAGGGAGATGATAGAAATATCAGCTTGGAGGTCGGCTGGCTGTGGGAGCAGCTGAGGCTGTTCTGTGTTACCGCAGCAGCCTCTAGCGGCTGTTGTAACACGTGGCTGTGCAGTGCTGGTGGTGCCTCTCTTTTGAGCTCTAACATGGTCAAATTTCCTTTCCGTTGTGCAGATGATTGCTGAAGAGGGAGTTGATACCCTGACTGTTAAAGAGCTCCAGGCAGCTTGTCGTGCCCGAGGGATGAGAGCTCTTGGTGTGACAGAGGAGCGTCTCAAGGAACAGCTTAAACAGGTATGGTTTTGCAAGACTGAATACACAGACCTAATTCCAGTTGTTAGCTCTGATGCTCTGATTTTTGTCCTGATTCCAAGAAGTCATTTTGATTCTGTTCTCACTAAAGGCTTGGTTAGAACAGTTTTTCTTCTTAATAAGTTTTTGTCACATGTACTTTGTAAGTATGTACTAGCTATGAGTTGCTGCCTTTTGACCGTGATGTTTTGATGATGCAGATAGATACTTAAATTTAACGTATCTGAAATATGTTAGCAACTTTGAAAATTTATCTTGTTAGTTATTATTTTGCTCTAAGGAAGTTTTCACCAAGTAGATCAGTTGTCTCTTGGTGTTGCCTGGTTTAGAGGAAGGTATGTTGGAACATGTCTAGAGGAGGCCACAGTTGATTAGAGGGGCCTGGAGCATCTTTATTATGAAGATGGGCTGAGACAGTTGGGGTTGTTCAGCCTGGAAAAGAGAAGGCTCCAGGGACACCTTATAGCACCTTCAGTACCTAAAGAGGGCTTACAGGAAAGCTGGAGAGGGGCTTTTCACAAGAATATGTAGTGATAGGACACGGGGGAATGGCCTTAAGGTGAAGGAGGGGTTTAGGTATAGATTAGATATTAGGAAGAAATTATTTTCTGTGAGGGTGGTGGGACTGGCACAGGTTCCCCAGAGGTGGGGACTCCCCACCCCTGGAGGTGTGGAAGGCCAGGCTGAATGGGGCTCTGAATAACAGTTTAGTGTAAGGTATCCCTGCCTGTGGCAGGGGGTTGGAACTAGATGGATGATCTTTAACCCAACCCAAATAGTTCTGTGATTTCAAGATGCATGTGAAACAAACCACTTGTTCAAATATCCATTCCATACTTCTTGAAATACTTCTTCAAACAAAATACGTCTTCCTGCATTTCATTGCAATGGCTGTAATTTTTAGCTGGTTATAGTCTGTAGTTCCTGTCATAAGATATTGACTGGTAAGTAGTGGTAAAAAAATTGTATTTACTTTTGCTTGATTTTATCTGTAAAAAAGAATAAAATATCCTGAAATTGAAGACCTGTTTTTTTGTATTTCACTTACAGTGGTTAGATCTGCACCTGAACCAGGAAATTCCTACTTCGTTGCTTATTTTATCCAGAGCAATGTATCTTCCAGATACCCTTTCTCCAGCTGATCAGCTCAAAACAACCCTTCAGACACTACCAGACAGTGCTGTAAGTATTGATGGACATAGTGGATAATTAACTTTCAGTGTCACGACTGAAAATCCATCCAGACAAGTAGATGTTCTTCTCAGTTCCTATCTATTTTAGTAAATCATAGATAGGTTTATTTGAGTGACATTCAAACGCAGAAGTTGTGTTGTACATGGAGAGGTATGAAGATTAAGCAAATACAGGGCAGTATTGGATTACATGACAGCAGACAGTAATAGCATAAGAAGATTTAGAATACACCTTTCACTTACAAAAAAACAGTGAATGCTTTGGGCCATATAAAGACATTAATACTTGAAAATACATGATGTTATGTAGTGAGACAAATTTACAGAGTAGATTGTTGGTAGTCTTGAGAGGAAGAGAATGAAGAACATGTATGATTTCAGGGTGAAAAGTTCATGTTTCCACCAAAACCCCTGAAAACTTTCCCTAGAGAGTCATCTTTGAGAAATGCAAAAATGGGGTAACATTTGGGGGCTTTGACTTTATTCACTAGCAATCTAATGAGTATCTCAATCAGGATATCTAAGCTTAAATTATACAGCCATATCTCTATGTACATATACACACACTTCTATTAGACTACTTTTGTTATTTTTAGGCCAAAGAGGCTCAAGTGAAAGTGGCAGAAGTTGAAGGTGAAAAAATAGATAACAAAGTACGGCTGGAAGCAACACTTCAGGAAGAGGAAGCCATCAGAAAAGAAAATGAGGAAAAGAAAATGTCTGAAGCTGCAGAGAAAGCCAAAGAAACCCTTGAAGTTGCAGCCGTGGTAAGTTCTGCTGAGAACTATTGAGAAGTAAATGTCAAGTGATTTGAAAACGAGCGTGTTACGAGTTATTGCCTCTGCTCTGTTATTGTGTCCAAGAAACTGGACTTTAGATCCACGTATGGAAGATGTAGGAGAATATTTAAACTTACTGCAACACAAGAGTTTAATATAAAATGTTTAGTCTCAGTCTTACTTATCTTTGATTTCTCTTCCTTCTTAATTAGTGCGGTAAGAGAAGACTTCTTTTTCTGTAGTGAGGGTAGTGGTTTTGTTTAATTTTATTTTTTTTTATTTTCTGCACCCCATATTTTAAATGTTCTTACCTTTGGCTCATTATATTTGTCATTAACTTGATAATGTTGTGGTATAATATTTGACTATAAGAGCTGCTAGCCTGCTTTTTTAGTGAATTAAGCCTCAGGAGCTCACAGAAGTAGTTCTTTAAGTACAAGTATGTTAATGTAAAACCACTCAATACATTGCAGTTTTTTAACCTTTTCTCATAAAAATGTGTGTGTCTACTTCAGCAACTATTTCTATTTTGACAAGTCATTCTTTACTGATGCTAATACAGCTAATGTTTTGGATTTTAAATTAAACCTAATGAGGTGTTTTAAATTTAGAAAGCGGTGGAACCAGCAGCAGATCTTGAAGCAACTGTTCTGCAAGCTAAAAAAAGACAGGTGGTGATGGATACTGAACCAGAACTGGCACAGGCAGGTGCAGCAGTGCACTCAGAGGCACTGATAGATACAGCACCAGTGCTGGAAGGCATTAAGGTAATCTGGATCACCACATGTTTTCATACTTTTGAATGTAAAGATTCAGAGCATTTATGTGAGAACCATGATAAATTGCTTGTCTGCCCCTTAACTTTTAAACTTCTCATCACATTCTCTGTTAAAAGTAACTACTTAGTGGATTGAAAATTCACCAATGCAGAAGCTGAAGTCAGCACAAAACGTCTCAGAGCATCTCCTTTATCTATCTGCAATTTTGAAATTAATATGCCTGTTTTGGGGGGCTCTTGCACTGTCTCTAGATAGAATGGGCCTGTGCATATTTTATTCCCAGCTTTTCAAGAGACAAGTGTACTTCACAAACTATGGATGTTCATCCTCATTCTCACATATGTTATTGGAGATAACTTTTCTACAGCCCAACTTTCCAAACTAACATTTTTTTTTGTGTAATTTATCTTTTTCCTTACATTGTTTCTCAGTTGTTTTAATTGCCTAACCCAAGAATGAAGTTAAACATTCTTAAATGAGGTGATCAGTTATGGAATTTCAAACTCACATAATCAATCACATTAACTGAACTTACTACTGGCACACTTCAAAAAACTATTTACCATAGCAAATCAACTCCCTTACTATTTAAAATCTTTGCATTAGCCTCAAAATCACTATATGATAATAGTGATTCCAGATATGTAAAAAGAATCTTGAGTTTCTCTTTTCTGCTAGAGGACTAAAAATCTTGCAGTAAGATCACAAATATGCCTTTCACTAATTTGTGTATATTTTCTGTACAGGGTGAGGAAATCACCAAAGAGGAGATTGATGTGCTGAGTGATGCTTGCAACAAGCTACAGGAACAGAAAAAATCACTTACAAAGGAAAAGGAGGAGCTTGAGGAATTGAAGGATGATATCCAGGAGTATAATGAGGTGAAGAATGGGGCACAGAATTTTGTTTTCAGTTTATGTTTATTTTTAGCAGAAATGATCCACAAATTTAAAGATTACCTTTCTTGGTCATCTGTTACTCTGAAGTTGGAAGCTGAGTGAATGAACTTCATATGTGACATTGCAGAGCCTCATTTGTGTAACATGTTCAAAGCCTAATTGTTATCCCTGGAGCAGTTCTTAGCAGATAAGATTCCTGCTGCTGCTCTTGTTCCAGAGTGACTGAGGTAACAGGATCTGACTGACTGCTGCATGCTGCAGTTCTTTCTTAGCAAGTGTAGATGTCAGTATTACTGACACTGATTACTGGAACTTCCAAGATAAGTAAAATGAACCTTATCCAGTCTTATGAAAGGTGTGGAAAACAACATTTAAGGGGTGTACAAAAAAGGCAGCAGTGTTAGAATTCATTGTTCTAATTCCATCTGGCTTTGTAAGTCTCTACACTTGTATTTCATCTATAAATGGCTCCTGTCTTGAAATGCTGGTTGAGGTCAGTAGTGTCTGTTGTTGTGAATTCACGCCAGCAAAAGCTTTTCTCTTTCTTGACCATTTCTTTTAGGATTTGCAAGAGATAAAGGAGCTTTCTAAAACTGGTGAGGAAGAGGCAGTGGAAGAGTCAAAGGCGAGCAAGCGACTGACAAAGAGAGTGAACCGAATGATTGGTCAGATAGACAAAATTATTGTGGAATTAGAAACAAGTCAAAAGACAGCAGACGCAAAGCTGGATGGTGAAGATACTCCTGCTGGGTAAGTGACCTGGGAGCACTGGATGTGTCTCTGGCTGTTCACCTTCACTCTTGCTTTTGTCTGATGTGTGGTTAGAAAAGAATTAGTGAATTACTTGTTTAGAATATTGAGATAATTGATTTTAAAAAATGAAGTTAACAGAATTGTGCTGCAGATTTTCTCTCTTCTAAGGCTGAATATGTTTGAACTGATAAAGGAAAAAGGGATGTATAATTCCCCAGGTTGTGAGGGTGTTCTGAAAGTCAGTGTTGATTAGAGTGTTACCATGCCTCTAACAGGATTACAGGTGAAATCATCCCCTTAGCCATGCTCCTCACACAGTAATTTTGCTCAGTGCCATTGACTGAAAAGGTGCACAACAGTGTGTGAGCATGTCCATATTTGTTGTTATTTAGTAATAAAGGTCTCAGGAAAGAAATTGCAAGGGTTTGTAGTGTCTGGTGCCAGGTGGGGAAATGTGTCTAATGGAAGTGAGATCATTTTATATGCTCCCTTTCCAAAAGATTTACTTAATTTCATTTTTTTAACACACAGATTTTCCAAGAAAGATTTTTCCTGATAGTTTCATTAAAAAATTCATTTATCAATGCTTATCCAGGTCTTAATACTATTGGAGAGTCTTTCAGGCAATGTTATGTTAAATGGTCATATACTGCTTGTTACACACACTGAAATAGCTGGAAACTGTGACACGGACTCTCATGGTTTGTGATCATGAATGCTGTATTAATCTGGTTTATGTTTGCACCATTTTGTGTGATTTATTAAGAGAGTATCCCAGCTCCCAAAGCGCATAACTAAACAGAAATAGGGATTCTGCTTTTGTTGCTTCTGAGCTCTGTGTTTTCCAGTCCCCAGGGCAAACAGTAATTTGTTGCAGATTTTGAGTAATGGCATTAAGGCAGTCATATGAATGGTGCTACAGAGAAGTTGTTGATCAAAACCATCTGAATTTGTAAACTAACAATACAATTTAGAATCTGCTTATACTGAATGTAATTATACTTTGTAATGGATGGTTTTCTGGATAATTTTGTAGGTGATTGTGGATGACTGAAAATTATTAGTTTAAATATTGCTTAATTGTCAAAGGCTTGTCTTTTAACCTTCAGGATGGTGCAGTCATTATCAAGCCATGTCCAGGACATTTAGTGGTGGCTTGAGAAATGGTCCTTGCATAAAAGTCTGTCTGCACCCAGAGGAGCTGGGACTACACTGATAAAGCCCTTCTGTTTAGTATTTATTGGCTTCACTGTCTCCTGCATTTCAGCTGGATCTGTGCTGGAAGATGTTTCTTCAAACAAGCAAAATACATAGGCAAGCAAGGGCTTTAGGTTGCAGCAGACAGACAGCTTGAACTTCATGAGATCAGTGTGCAGAAAGCAACATCTGAAACCTGCTAGTCCTTCCTTCCTTAGAGTCTGGTCCTTGACAGAGGAAATGGAGCTGATTTAACAAAACAGCTCAACTGCTCAAGTGATTAGTTCTCAGCTTTTGTTTTCCTGTGACTCATTGATTTTCTGTCAGTCAGCCTCTAAATATAAAAGGGTGCCAGAAACATGGCACTGTATCTTTGGTAAATGGGGAGTGAGGGGACAAAGGGCATTAGATACACAGTCTGGGAAGCATAGAAAACTGTATTTCAAATGTTTCTGGGTACTTGTATTCTTTCAATAAAACATACAGAAACTGAAGCACGACATTTGATGGTAAGATAAAAATCTGCTTGCTGATCAGTAACTTATTTTTGTATTTTTTGCATTCTGTTCAGGATTATAAATAAATAATTAATAATTTTACAAGCATCCTGCAGTGTAGTAACTTCCAGTACTGCCTTTTGTCAACTTTATTCCTTTGGAGTAACAGCTTGTCATGTAGAGTTTGTGCTTTCTCTTCAGGAAGAATCTCATCAGCATTGCTGAGCTAATTAATGCAATGAAACAAATTCAGAAGATTCCAGAGGAGAAGCTAACAAGGATTGCAGAGGCACTAGATGAAAACAAGGATGGCCAAGTTGATATAGATAATGTTGTTAAGGTAAGTGTCTGGACTTCTTAAAGAAAGTAAGGCTAACTGTCCTTCAAACATGGAACCTGTTTGAGCATAAATTCTTAGTGCAGTCTTTTGCAAGAATCTGTACTTGATGCCAGTGAGGTTTTTGGTATGTGTTGTAAATAGATCTTATAGAACAGCATCTTGAGAATCTATATGACTGTTTTTTGGAGGGGTGGGGGGTGGAAATCCATGTCCATTACATTACCTTTAAAGCTGTTGGTGTTCCTGGAGGTCTCTCTAAAATTCTGTAAAATAACCTAAATTTGTTATTACTTACAAATGGGAGGGAGTAGAACTACTACTGTTAGCCAAAGTGTTGACATAACATCCATAGATATATTTCATATCAGTAGAAGATAGTAGCTTCTCTTGCCTACTTGTATGCTTTTGATGTTTCATTGAGATCTATGTTTCCTGTGCTTGAAAGACAACAGACCACCAGTTGGTGGTCTTTAAGTCTACTGTAAATGAGTTGTGTTTGTTGCCTGATTTGTCCTGTTGTCTCATATTGCTGGACATTCTCAGGTTTTCTGTGCCTTTCACCTTCATTTTCTTGTTTATTTTTCACTTGGCAAATTTAGATTTGTCCTGAAACTTTCTTCCCACAAGTCATTCTGCTACTCGATACAGAAATAGCATTTAAACTATGGCCAGCTAGAAAATACAGTATCTGTCTTTTGAAACACATTTTTCCTTTCTACTGCCCCAGTGGTGATTATCTTCCCTCTTGCTCTAAACAGCCGTTGCACATTTAGCAACACAGATAAAATGTACTTGTAAATTCTGCATATATTGCAGAATAATTCTAGGAACTTGAGGAGATATGCCAAGAATACATTTGTACAAAAAAAGCTATTTAAAGGAAGTTGGAATCATTTACTAGATTATTTTTTTCATTTGCGATCTGAAAGGCCCACCCCCTTTACTTTCAAGTTTTTCTAAATTTATGTCTGTCTAGTACAGTAGGTCTTTTTAAATAAAATGAAAATAAAATTAAGCCTATAAATTACTGTCTTAAATACTTTTTCAACAGGTACTGAATCTCAGTTTTCCATTAAAACAGATAAAGTAAATGGATCTGTTTTATTAATGCTTTAAAATGTCTTTGTGTGCTGCACACACAAAAGTCAAAAGTTCTAAGTCTTTTAGTTTACATTTTAGCTTTTTTGTAATACTCTGGATGTGTCTGAGGTACTGGTTGTACTTTGAATTAGTCTTCCATGTAAGAAAAAAAATGCTGTTTTCTTGAATATGAGAACTGAATACTTTTGTTGTCTTAACAAAATTTATTATGGGAAAATGCCTCCATCATGTAAAAACTAAATGCACTCTCAATTTCATTTTATGTTCATGTAGGTTGTAGAATTGATTGACAAAGAAGATATTGATATTGGCACCAGCCAGGTTGCTGAGATTATGTCACTGCTTCAAAAAGAAGAAAAACTGGAGGAAAAAGAGAAAGCAAAGGAAAAGCAAGATAAGGAAGCTGCAGAAGCAAAGAATTAAGCTTCAGAATCTGAAGCTAATTGCAGTTGTAATCAAAATCTTGTATATCTTTCTGTGTCTAATGGCTACATATTACTTGAGCTTTGTGATTTTGGGAAGTGTTTTGAGCTGATTCTGGTAATAAATCTTAGACATGTTTTCTGACATATGGAATGAAATTTCCGTTCGTCAAAGAAGTGATTTAGTGTCATTCCATACTGATGAAAACAGAATATGCTTCTTTAGCAGTGCTCCTGCCCACAAAAATATGTATTTGCACTCATTGTTGTGGTACAGTGATCCATTAAACTTGGATTTTTGCTGTATAAATTAAGTGTATCTATCATGGAGAAATGTTTCCCATTTATTTTCTTCCATTGTTACACGGGGCCCAACCTTGCTCTGCTTCTACCTTTTGGCTTTTTCAGAAGCTTTCTGTTCCATCACAATATTACATGTTTTCTAATCTGCTCGTGTATATTCCATGGCTTTAGTAGTAGCTGTATAGATTTAAGGGGTTTTAGGCTAAATATCACTAAGCTGTTGCCTCACTGACAGAGAATGTTCTGATCACTTCTATGAATTCATGGTTATTACTATTTTCTGTTGAAGGGAAAAATCAGATTTATTTTTCCCTAGAATGGAAACTTGGCATGAAGTTTGCTACTTATGGGTGCCTTAAATTTCATAGGACTAGAGAGTAGAGTATGTTGCTTCTACTCAAAACTCCATGAATTATTAAAGCGTTGGAATCACAGGAGCCTTTAAAATAGTTTCAGAACACAATCTGTCACATGGTAAAGTAAGTTAAATTGTTTGTCTGAATAGCAGAATGAAAATAATCAAAAGGGGAAAATGTCAGTTGTGATCTTTTTGCATATATTTAAAAAATGTAGCTATCTTCATGTGCTTGTTTTTCATCGGATAATTACTTACACTGTAACTAGTTCTCTTACCTCTTAATTTTCATCTCAGGTATAAAGTCATTAACCAAGTATAGTCAGAGTACATAAATGTGTTCATCTCATGGCTTTGCTTACTGTGCAGTCAACAAGTCATTTCTGGTATTGCCAGTGCTTTGATTACATTATTGGTTTTCTAATTGCTTATAGTCAATATCTTTATATGTGTGACTACATACTGGCAGTAGGTCAAGGTTTTCTCATATTTCTTCTTAGTAGCAAATTTTAAAGTTTTCAAATACTAACTCTGGGATGTTCCATAATTCATGGTACCCTAAATTTTACACTTCTCTTAAAATTTATTATAAAACACATGTAGTGCAGCTTGAACCAGCAGGGTTGAGGTTTGGGGTTTTTATTCTGTTTTTATTTTACACCCAGTATTATAAAATGTACGACCATTCTTGATTTTGTGTACATTATAGAGAGCACATCTGACGATGGCACTGTACATGGTGATATTGAGGTGGGCAGTTAGTACTTAATGCTTTTAGTCATAGTAGCATATTTTTGTAGAAAATATCAACTCCCAAGTATATTTCAGCATAATTTCATGTGCAGTATTTATCTAGATTGGCTAAATTATTTGTACAAATTTATTTGAAGTTAGTGGAACAAAAGTTTTGACAGTCTCATGGCTTGCATGATATGGACCATTGTATTTAGTTGTTTCCAAAGCAATATGTACAGTGAGATGTACAGTTCTAGAAAAAGTCAGTGTGTAGTTCAACTATTGAGTTCATATTCTGTACAGTTTGCAAAGAAAGCTGATTACAGCAAGATCCTCCTGAGAATTACTGTAATTGTATCTGAAGTGTGAAATTGCTGTGGTGAAGCTGAAATTTCAAATCAGTACAATCTTATGGTTCAGGTATCCCGAAACAAATTTATCCCTCATAAATCGAGATTACCTTGGAGATTTCAGCATGGAAGTCACTTTGCAGATTTTTGAAGATCCAACTTCACTAGGTGCTTTTTTTTAGGCCAATGCTTGTGTTAGATGTAAATCCAAGAATAATACTGATATCAAAAAAATACTGTCTAGAAACTAATTTTCCATTTTATAATTTACAGCTAGAATTTATGGGCTTTGAAGTACGCTAAATTTTTACAGTGGCATATTTTCAATATTAAAACAATGTATAAGAATATTACTTGACATTCCTGAAACGTGGTAAAGATACTCTAAAATTGCCTGCTACCTTTCATGGAATATCAAAAACCTAAGAATTGTATTCACTTGAATGCATGCAGATTTAAACCAGGGAAGTAGCAGAAAAAGCTGTTTTCAAATATTTATTGATTAAAGTTTTACAGAGCTTTAACTGTCCTGAAGGTAAATTGGCTGATGCAGTATTTGGGAGTTTAAAACACTTTGCTGTTGTTCTGTGTTTACTGTTCACTTACATTTTCTGTGGATTAAGTAAGAAGGGAGCCAAAAATAGCTGGTTTTTTTTATTTTATGAAGAATATTGTAATTAAAGTAATTGTGATACATTTGGATTGCATGAAATTTGGCATATTGTGAAATCTACAGATAACATAAAATTTATTTAAATGGCAGCTTTCTGCTGTGACCTAAAGCAATCACAGAACATGTACACCAACCATGGAAAGGACTTTCATGGGGAATACCTTCCTTCTGTTGAAAGCAGGCCAAGCCCATGACACCAGACTTGAACAACACATGTTCTGCAAGCTTTAAAAGATTAGGAAGCCCTCGGTGATAAACTTTTACCGAGCTTTGAACCTCCCAAGCAGCTCTGTCCCAGTGGTACAGGCAACTGCATCAGAGCAGAATAGCTCCAGATAATGTGCTTGGTTACCTTTGGTGTTGACCAAAAAACCAGAAGCTGTTTTGAAATTCAGAGAAAGGATGACTTTCAAGTGTACATTAACTGGATAGAACTTATTCCTGAGTGAATATTTAATCAGGAGATGTAAATATTTCTTTAAATAATTTAAAGGATATGTGAGATTTCAATGACTTTGTGACTTACACAGGCAAAGCCTCTGAGCTCAGACTTAGGTGATTGGTAAGACCATTTATGGGGTTGTTGCAGATTCAAATAAGATTTTGACTAAACTATTCAGGGGGAAAATGTAAAACACACAAAAAGCTTTTTAAACAATCCATTTAGCACAGGGAAGAGAAGTAGAGTAGGATGTGATTTATTTTCCCCCTTTAAAATAAGTGTGTTATAGGACCTATTTTATTGAAAAACTTGTTTCTGTTTCATCTTTGCTCAAAAGATGGTTTTCACAGAGATTTTCATCACTGACTACATGCTGTAAGAATTGATCTGCCTGCAGGTTAAGTGCCAGAAAGCTGGTTCAGATGGAGTTTGTCAGCAGGACTGCATGTAGGTAGAGAACAGTCTCTTGCCAGGATAGTACCTTACACTTGAGTAGGCTTTGTCTGGGGGAAAAAGTTACATCTTTTATACAACTCCAAAATACTTCTTTCAACTTTATATCTGCATACATTGCTAATAATTTTAACTTTAGCTACTTCAGCATGTATTTAAATACTTTTAAATTGTTACTATCAAATAATTGGGTATACTTAATCAAAAGAATAATCCCACATTCTGTTATTTGTATGTATTCCAAGTTTTGCTTTTCAGTTGATTAATTTCAACCTGTATTATAAATTTAAGTTGAAAATCATTTGTCTGTGCTCTGAGCATACTGGTCCTGTGTTTGCCATAACTCAGTGTAAAATTTTTATTTTAATTGGAGCTTGTGTCCTTTGTTTAGTTACAATAAAAGTATCATTTTGAAACCTAATCTCTCCATTATTTTTCTGTTGGTTTTGATAATTTAGTGTTAATTTATTGTTCTTCAGATGAGATGCCAGGCACAGGGCTGGATGCTGATGAGCTGTGTCCATGGAAGTAATCTCCTGTCTGTTTTAAAACAGAATTTGGGAACAGGCAAATGCTGAATCTGCACTCCAGTGTAAAGTGTTTCAACAGGTGGCTGAAGCCAACCTTCTGCCTTGACATGTTTTTAAGATAATAATAAATAAGCAAGGTTGGGTTGTAAATTTTTTCCTTATTTTGCGTAAAGCCAAATAGCAAATAAAAAGGTTTAAATGTGGCGGAACTTGTTCCTTTTAAGCTTTTGCTTTAAGAAAATCCTTGAATGACCCTTTAATTAGGATGAATAGAAGTGGTGGGCAGCAGTGGTCAAACTGACTAGCAGAGGAATTGGGGTTTGAGTTTGTGAATTAAATGTAGACATTGGCAAGTGTCCTTGATCATATTTACTGAACTGCCAAAAAAGAGACTGACTTCTGGATCCATTGTTCTCTTTGCTGAGATATATTAGTTACTACACTCTTGAATGAATCTCTATGACATGTTGCTAACAATTGTAATTGTTAAAAGCTAAGGGGAAAATGGGGACAGCTTGTAGATTGAGATAAGGCAGTTTACTAAGGCAGCAGCAAAAGTTTGTGCGTGCACAAGCAAAGGAAAAAGAAAGGTTTATTCTCTACTCCCCATCATCAAGCGATGTTCAGCCACTTCCTGGGAAGCAGGGCTTCAGCAGGTGTGGAGGTTGCTCTGGAAGGCAAACATTGTAAATAATGAATATACTTCATCCTCCTCCTTTCCTTGGCTTTATATCTGAGCTGACGTCATATGGTCTAGAATATACCTTTGGTAAGTTGTGTCCCCTCTCAGGATCTTGCCCACTCCCAGCCCGTTGATGGGGGAATGTTGAGACAGCACTGATGCTGTGCCAGCCCTGCTCAGCAGCAACCAAAACATGGGTGTGTTATCACTTCTGCAGCTCCCAGGGCAAAGCACAGCACTGTGGGGCCTGCTGTGGGGGAATGGACTGCAACTCAGCCAGACCCAATGCAATTACAGACATGGATTTGTGCCTTGTCTGCAACTGTGCACAGAGGGAATGGCAACTGCCTGCTCTAATAGCAGATAATGAACATATTGCTGTGACTTCACTGGATGGAATCTTCTTTTGCATCAGGCTGGTATTGCAGGTGGGCAGAAAACTGGGTGGGAAAATCTCTGACTTCATGACATCACAGACTGAAAAGAATTAATATGGAAATTGTATTGCAAACTATTTTGGTGAAATGTCATTTAGAGGGTGAACACATCTGCATAGTGGTGGTGAGAGATTGATAGCCTTGTGGTTGTTTCATCGACCTGAGGCCAGAGAAATCTGTGTTCAGT